ATGTAATGTGATTCATGCACTTTGTAAGACAGGACTGCTACTTCAGGCAGTGAAAGTATCGCAAAGTTCGGTGACATCTCGCCATACATTTTCATTAAAACAATCTAGCGACTAGTACGTCGAAAATAACAGCAATCTATAGCAAATTTATTGTAGTCAGGTGTAACATTGATGCTTTATGACGTTCCCCTACCTTCCATTATTTTCTGAAAACTTGTCTCCCTGAAAGAAACGTCGCCACTGGCCGATATCGGCACAGGTGATAAATAATAACTCCACTCTGTGGATGCACAGCGGCGTTCTGCGTGAACTACTTTGAACCGTTGCAACTAAGGCAGAGGTGAGCCTGAAGACGAAGATCTCATCATACAAACTGATCTTCAACCCCATGCTTACCTACGATCAGGAGTGGTGAACCATGACTGAAAAACTTCAATCCTGGATACAAGCAGCTAAAAAGGCTTTCTGAGACGAACTGCTAGACTCACAGTCTCGAAATGGTCCGGAGATCACAAACCTGAGAGCTTTAATGCATAGTTGCTTTTCCAGAAAGGGAAGTCACAGTTGCAAAGGTTTGGGCATATAACGCGAATGCTTCAAGAAAGAAAGACGAAATAACTACTAGTTGCATAACTGACAGGCCGAAGATCCTGTGGTCTCGGGCAAGTGTTTCCGCAGACTCTGGTCCATACTCAGGTCACTTCTGCGGAAGCTCAAACGCTGGTACAGGACCAGGAAGATTTTACACATTGTCTGACGCGGCTGCCTCCGCGACCCGCAAGAATAAGCGGAAAAACAGACTGAGTGCTATTGACTCTCCTGCTAATTATAAGTAATCACCTAATTTATTTGAGTTGGTACTGGTGGTCATAGTGTTATTAGCCAAATTTTTACAAAACCGGTTTAAATGACACGCTGCACAGAAGGAGAAATGAAATGCGGTAATAAACAGTGAAACCCGGATTTACGAGCCATGGTCTTCTGTGGCATTGGTCGCTGGTGTATCTTTTATTTACAAGCACATTTAAATAAATTCGCCAGCGAACAGTTCGAAAACTTTTCGGATACGAATAAATCTGGTACTAATAAAAGGAACAGATTTTCATTTTCATACTGTTTGCGTTTATTTTCATGATGTGGGCTGTTTATATCGCAGGCATTTTGCGTCTAAACTGAAACTTCAGGAAGTGTAGACTAGAAATGCAGTCAAACGATGCCAGAATTTTGCCTCTTAATAATTTCATATGATCGTCAGTTCGGCTAATGCGAAAGCATGAGTTGGTTCATCAAACTGTCAGCTAATCATCGATTGTGCAAAGAGAACTGTAGAAGCTTCTCAGATTTTGTTAAACTTATCAGCGAGGTTTAGTGCATCGTTGGCTCGAAGCACAAGTGCACCACTACAAGACTGCTGGCGGACGCAGAAGCCAGTAAAGAATTTAATGCCAGGATGAGTCTTCAGCAGAGCCTGCCTCTGATGATAAACTCATTAAAAAATAGCCGTGACCTATTTGGTTTCAGAAATTTTATTCACCAAGACTCGTGCATTTTCGTTAAATTACTAATCAAAACCATGGTGCTAAAATGTTTTCGCAGAGAGTAGGTTATTATTCTTCTTTATGATTTATCACAAGTTTTGAATGTAACAGTTTAATTTTTGAACATTTACCAGAAGTCTATTCTGAGGCTCAACTATAAAATAGTCCATAGTAACGAAATCACACTCACCGCAAATGTTTTTGGCTACCTTGCTCAAATAATGAATTCTGAAAAACTGGCATGAAATCCATTCGCAATTTTCCTACCTGGACAATATTTTCATATGCGGCAGAAATCACTGTTCCAATAAAAGACCAAAAACAGTGCAAACAGTGCCGGTTTCGAAGCATCATGTGGCAGGACGGCAAGAAATATGTAAGAAAGTACTTCATTCCCTCCAGGCCAAAAGTGCTGCAACTAGGACGTGAAATTAAAAAAAATATTAGCTAAGCTTGACAAACTGGTTTCCACAAGGCATGCTCTTTAGCCATTCAGCCGTAACAAGAACGAATAACTTTAGATGGCCCAGCAAATAGGTGTAGAGCAAAAGTGCGCGTGAATGACATGAACATCCTTCAACGAAGGAACCCGGCACCTGTTTCTGGTACAAAAGTAGAACCGCGTTTGGCGTGGAACTGTTCTTTTGACAAACTTCCAAATGCTGCCTCACATCAAACGACCCAGCCCAAAAGCAGATGGTGCAACGGAAATCATTTTCTGTAGCTTTGAACTATACAGTTCAAAACGGTGATCACGAGTTACACAGACCATCTTAAAGTGCCGCATCGCACAGCAGTATAAACAAATGAACATCGTTCCAACGTACATTTCACAAAAGTTGCCGAAAAAGGCTTACCTTCAAAACGAACCTCCATGTCCACGTGAGGCATCGCCGACAAAACATTCATAACGTCCATGTACTCCCGGTCACAGAGCGATCGCAACAAGTTGCGCCTTTCGTCATTAGTTAGCCGAGCTACGTCTGCACAAGTTTTGATGTTACGCTAATAAACAGTTACTCGTTACGCAGTTTATTCTTCATTTTGCATAGACGGATGTAAAAACTCTACCTTTTTATTTATGCAATGACGTAACATGTCTTCAGTGAAATGAGGCAGCTGCATCAGCGGACTTTTGCTGTCCCACGACGCCTGAACCAGCATCTGCGAAACTTTGATTATGTTGTCGAGGGTATCCAGAACCGGCATTCTCGAGACTAACAGAAACGAAATCTTTATCAATCAATAATTACAAAACATGCTATACTTCGACCAGCTGCCGCAAACGCCACTAGCTGTGAATAAACCTGGATCATCTCCTGAATTAGCAAAATGCACTTCCTTAGGATGCCGTTCAAATCTAGATGTAAACATACAGGGAGCATTATTTTCGATTTCGAAAAATGCACTACGTTTCGAACCTTTTGTGAGAGTGTTCTGAGGAAGAGACATCCGGTACAAATGTGCGTATATGAGTGCGCGTGCTTTGATGCTGTATGGATAACAGAGCGGACGTTCCTTTTTGTTTTCACCCAAGTTTGGCAGTTCTTTGATTAACTGAAACAACAGTTACCAAAATCAAACACTAGCTAAGTCGATATAATCAGCAATAAATAAACGCACCGCTGGAACCTCCACGTCATCGCTTGGTCTTTCGATGATTTCCTTGTTGTGTGCTCGGCAGAATTCAAATGATGCTGCCAATATCATCAGAAGTCCTGAATTACACGAGCTACTAAACACGAGAACAAAAAATTCTTTTAACAAACAAATACTTTTAACAACCAACAGCGGCGTCTTATGAAACATGTAGAAATATAACTGAGTGGTGTCCATCAAAACTTGGTCCGCACTATACTTGATCGAACGATACCACCAAATTCCCTAGAACGGAAATACAGAAATCGCCAGGTCACTGTACGATACTCATGCATGACGTACAACAGCCGTAGGGAGAAGAATCATCAGAACAAAACCGTAAATGCCAAGCACCAACAGTGAATATTCCTTGCTGATCAACCACGACGGCAAGGCAATTCCAAATCGAAGAACTAGAGCAAGATAGAAATCAACAAAACTCAGAAACTATTCACCTCCTGGTCCATCCGGGTTGCCATATTCTTCATAATTTTTTCGACTCTCCTCATCCGTTAACCTAAAAGGTTCAAATCATATTATCCAGCACTATCCTACCCAATAAAGCTAGTCCACAGATTTTTAAGAAATAAACTTGCTGTAACTGATGGCCAGCGAACATCGAGTTGCAATCGTTATGAACTGTGAATTTATGTTAATACCAGATTTTGCACATTAAAAGTGGATTGCAGGTGCGTTTTCTTCTACTATTATCCAAAAACTAATAGTCTGCGATACAGCAAAGGAAATCGCATAAATTCTTTCATGCACATATCAAATACCTGAAAAAAGAACTGAGGACAAGAATTTTCTTTCAAATTAGAAAATATTTGCTGTTTTAGTGCATAATTTTTTAACTGATCAATTAAGACATTTTACATTCAACTTTCATATCGATGAAGCAGTTGATGCCATTGCCGTAATTCATCAAGCAATCCATGATGTGGTGGTGAAATCAACTGCAACAGAATCCAACCGATCGAGGAGTTATCATTAAGTCAAAGAAATAACGACTGTAACTTTGTATTGATTGCTAATGACTGCAAAAAGCTAAACCGCTTCTGCATCAAAGATACTTGCCCTTAGTGAATTCTCCAAGTCGCTGCCCTTTCACTTATTTGTTAAAATGTAACTTTAGGAAAGGTAACCCTACTGGGACAAAGAGCTCTACCTTACTCAAAAACGATACCGTCGTTTCACCTGACATTATTTTATTCAACAACGCTGTTAATGATTTTCATTCCAATCAGAATCACGACCTACCTGCTATCCATGCAACTGTAATTTTTCAGTAATTTGTTCGAATCGATTATGGCATAATCAGCACAAATATAAAAAAACACTGAAGTATATTCTTTAATGCCTTTGAAGTTCGCGTAGATTTAATTATGAGAAATAGAAAGAAAATCCAGATAATAAAAGGAAGGCACAAATTAAACAGAGGCATTCTACCTCGATATTTTAGACACATAATAGCTTCATCATCAGAGTCAACAATAAGCGGAACAGTGTGCATCGCTGCAACTGAAAGACGCACAACTGAATGGTTCCATATTAAATGCTGAGTCCACCAAGGAGTTGCCTTTTCGCCTTTGCTATTCATCATGGTTCTGGATGTTTTCCTCTGAAACAGCGCTAATTTGAGCAGAAACAGAAGTAACATTTTATCCGTCCAGACATTATGTAGACGTTGAGTACGCAAATGCTACTGCCACGACAGTATTAAAGGAAGAGGGCTTCGCCGCTTTACTGTCACGATATGCAATAACTAACGAAACGAAAGGTGGTCTCTACTTTAAGGTCCAGGTGCAAAAACCTTGTATGAACATACATTCAGCAGACAAGGTCGGCGGGCGTAACAGATTCGGTTCCTGGATGATATAGTCTCCATCGTCGACATAAGTCAATTAAAAATAATAAAAGGATCGTCATAGTCTTCTAGCGCTTTCGGCAGTTTGTTCAGTATCTGTGATAATGGAAAAACATCCCTTATCCCGTCCATTCCCGAACAACCTGATTGCGCGTTGCCGCTGTCAGATTGGCGCTGTCACACAGCGGAGAATTTTGTTCCAACGAACGACAACAACGAAAGAAAAACAAATTCCCTGTACTTCAATACATAATGCTGAAGAAGAGACAGGGCAATATAACGAATGTCATAATCATCTGTCAGATAGATACCATGGGTAAAATGGTAAATCAGGAAAATGATGTTGACCTGTCTGGCAGATTGGTTGAATCTATACCCCTCACCTCAGCCACTGAACTCTTGCATGGAACCGAAAGATGATGCGCATCGATCAGTAAATCAAAATAAAACGCAGATGAACAAATGAGACAGATCTACATTCAAGCAAAAAATGTTCTTGCTGTCACGCTATAACCGCTGCCTGACAGCAGACTGTTGAAAATTAAGTATGCAGGGAACATGAAGAAGCGGAGCAGTCCTGTAAATGCAAATGATTACCATGCATACCAAACCATGGTGCACATATCCCTCTGAGGAATGAGTCAGAAACTAAAATCGAGTTTGACTAAGAAATACATAACTTCATGCTGATATGTTGGCGTACAATGTGAAATTGCAGCTAATGCAAAAAGATAAAAGTTTGTAGTACTATTTAAAACTGCTCATCTTACGCTTGATAAGCCTTTGAAATAGCGACAAATTTCTTCGGTTCGCCTCCGCGATCAGGATGATGAAGCAAACTAAGTTTTCTATACTGTTTCTTGATTTCGGCCAAAGAAGCTCCCTAAAAACAAAGTAACATAGCAGCATAACAAAGAAATAGCTTTAGATTACACTGTCTAGTTCCAGGATCATGTACGGATCATATTCATTAACTTCAACCTCCACATTAACAGCTTTGAAGATCAGCATAGCTAATCCAATCCAACCACAGAATAATAAAAGCTTTCTAAAATATTTTCATGTATAATCAGAACCGCCTCCAACTCTCACAATTGTATGAACGAGCAAAATGAAAAATATCGCAAAAACTTAAGATTATCGCAATATGAGATTTCATAAGGCTTGCACATGTTTGTGACATCAACGATGGTTCCAAAATTCCACTGATCAGAATCCGTTGAATATAAATCGAACGAAAAGAAAGGCAAAAAAAGTAATCCTGAACCAAAATCTGACATAGCAAAACATCTAATATTCGATCCTGTTTCAGCCCATATGCTAATTCAGAACCTAAACTTGGTCCAGCTACGAATTTTAAGGGGGAGACACACTTATCTAAGAGGAGAATACACTGGTAAAAGCAGCAGGAAAATCAGACATGGATCAGACGTTCAACTGTAGGCACACTGAAAGCGCTTACTCTACAGCTCTGACCAACATCGTGACTTGTTGACCACCCTACCGACGGTTCAATCTATAAGGAGTCGAGTAAATCGTGACAAGGATTTTAGAAGCAGCAGCTTTTGACAGCTGAAAAGTGATCCTGTACCGGATAAAGATTTCCAATACATAGTTAGAACATACTATTGCTGACAAGTAAAGGAAGCGGCATCGCAAACCACCAGATTAATTTCACCACTGGTTTTCATATTACCCGATCTTGTCCAAGAATAAAAATATGCCATCTTCTGTAATCGTATCTTAACTGCAAAATTATTTACAAGCTTACACAACCAAGGTCGTAGTTTTCGGTAACCTGCACGACAGACAGAATGAAAATAAAGCGAGAACATACGACGATGACAACTATGTCAAAGATCATAAACCAATTTATTGCAGTCAGAGTCTCAAAGAATAGGAGGAGAATGATGAAAGAACCAAACAAACCAGCCATACAAACTATGCGGCAGAGGAGTCCAAACCCTGGTTAACAAAGGGGGACACTTAGAGACTTACAGATTTCAATGTATAATGCGTTATCTAGTTCATTTTTCAGTGCTCGTGTTATTTATGACTACGGTAGTTGGTTTTCTCTTTCACTATCAACATTCCGTCCTTTTGCAATTTAATATAACCTACACTTGCTAGAAAAGGTGACTAAGCAGAACAACCAGGTACCGTTCTCTGTTAGAGTCAAAGTAAACCACGTAGTTGTGACTTCCGTACGGCGTCGAGACTTCATCGTCTAGACCCCCTATTTCTCTGCAGTCTGTCGGCTATTTCGTAAACACAGTGAAAATTAGTGGAAACTACTCGGTTAGCATACTAACGAAACGATACTATTCGGCTTCTGATCGATGAATCCTTGATAGGAGAGTAAATGTTTTCTCTTACATACAGCTACATTGCTCTGCACATCTTGTTGCACCCGCAACTTAAGTTTCTAGGTGGCACTGTTACTGGCGACGAAACTGTACGAAATGCCAACAGATGAACGAGAGAAACGCAACATATGCCCGCTGACATGTCTTTATGAGACGGCTCTAAATATTTTGAAACTCTAATCCAGCGACAGCGCGATTTCAGATTCAGCTGTTCGCCTCCAACAAGCAGAAGGTTGTTGAATGATGGAGACCAATTATTAAATGAAACAAAACAATCACACCGAAGCGAACTAGACTTGTCACTGTAACGAAAATCAGCCGGTTAACATTAAGCAAATATACGAAACAAGACTAGAAGCACTTACGTAACATTCTTTTTAAAGCTTTTGTACGGCTCCTGTGACTTTTTGAACGCGTCCTTCCTCAAGCAAGGTTCGCAATGACATTTCCGCAAGTCATTTGTGTGATCTTAAAAGAGGTTCGTACCGCATAATGGAAAATAACTGAGCATTACCTTTAACGCCGTGCCTTGGCCAAAAGTAATATGTCAGCGGAAGCAGAACAAATGTATAAAAGGAAACCAAGAAAAAATAGAAGGTGCTTCCCCGCTCATCGTATTCAAACTGCTGCCCCGGCATCTACTTTGGCGCGACGCTTTCAAATGACCCTGAAATTCAAAATTACTCTATTAACAATCGATGGATTTTCTACACCGCAAATTCAGCGTCTCAGAAATAAACCTGACGTATTCTTTAAGAAACATTTAAAGACATTTTTCACCTCGACACAATTTCACTTTCAAAAACAAGTAAATGATGAAAATCACTTTGCAGTTTCATAAATCATTCTTAAAAATCAGCAGCTCAAAACGGATTTTTATGAGTTACTTAAAACATTTTACAAATTCGATTATTCCTATGCGCGGTAAATAGTGCCAAATCATACAAGGTTAAAATTCCGGCGTCACTGGAAACGTTGATCATTTTATTAAAAACTTCCAAATATCTGCTAAATATCTGCTTGATCCTTCTAACCGAATGTAAACTGTCAGCGACAAAGTTTTTATAGCTGTTGCTGCCATTCCCATTACCATGCTCTCTCTGACTTATGATATCCCTGCCAATTTCGAGCACTTTTATCATAGGACACCGATCACTGCATCGCAAATAAAACAGTTCCTCTCCGAACGCCGATCAGCCTCCATTGTGCTCATCCAGATAGCACGCTGTCTCCTGGCCAGCATTTGCTGAGACAATGAGTTTATGTCAACCCATCTGTCTGAGTTAATTTCACTTTTCCAATCTCTGCATCCACTGCGAATACCAACGGCCGAAGAAAAGTCCTTC